CCCATGCCTAGGGGAGGGCATCATACTAATCCTAGGGTTGACAGGGGGGGAGGGGAGGAGGGTAACTCCTCCCTACCCCTTAACTTTATCAAATCTTAATATTTTTGAATGATTTAAAATGATTTATGATTCTAATTAGCTAAATTATTATATTCTAATATTAAATTCTAGATTATTCACCAGGAAGGTGGTCGAACTAGGAGGGTAGGGGTAAGGTCGAATTTTTTTGTTGGGGTGTGCCAAGACCACTATCTGCGGGAAGCCTATACCCCTTTAGGCCACCACCTAGTATAGACACTGCCTGAGGCATCTACTAGCCTAGTAGAGCCTTAGAATTCAGGCAGAAATTATGAGAAAATAATTTCTAGTATTTATAAAGAGCCTAGTACTAGATGGCTAATAATAAATATTTTTAGTAAGTAGTAGGGACTTTTAGCTATAGAATAATAATAGTCTGATTATATAAGCATGATTCCTGATTTTTTAAAAATTCTTAAAAAACACTTTGAAATTTATTACCTGCTGACTAATCATCATCATTTTTAGTGAATAGGCCAATATTTTAACTAGAAGAATGATATAATAGCATGTTTAGTAATGCTAAGCCTAGAATTTTTAAAAATTTATAGAAGTTAATGTTTTATAGATTTCATTTAGAGAGTAGGTCTAGACTTAGTAGTCTAGTAGGGAGAGGCCTATAAGCAGGCTACCTAGACTAGATGTTTCAGCTTCGGTAGGTCCCTGTGTGGGCTATCTAGACTAGGTGATTCAGCTTCAATAGGTCCCTGTGTGGGGGGTCTAGTCTAGAAGATTTGATATGGCTTAGCCTAGTGATTTAGCTTTAATAGGTCCCTGCGTGGGCTCTCTTAAACTAGGAAATTCAGCTTTGATAGATCTCTGCATAGGCTATCTAGACTAGGTGATTCAGTATGGCTCAGCCTAGTAATTTAGCTTAATAGGTCCCTGTGTTAGCTATCTTAACTAGGTGATTCAGCTTTAACAGGTCTAAAAATATATATACTAGTAGGGTCATTCAGATGTAGGTAAAAGCTTTAGTTAGTAACTATATATATAGTAGAGTCATCTAGATCTAGGGAGATATTTAATTTATGAATATATATTTACATATAAATATATATAATAAAGGGAAATAAATATATTTAACTTATACTAGCCTAGTAATTCTATAATTATCTAGACCTATCTAGGCCTATCTATTATATCTAGTAGAATAAGATATACTAAATCTATAAAATAATAGGGCCCCTTTATAGTAGGGGGAGGATAAGGGTAGCTTTTAGAGCTAGGGAATAAGGGATTAGGTATATAGGTATTTAATATACTCTATTCTACAAGGGATGGAGCGATGAGGGCTCATCGCTATTAGGGTCGAAAATTTACAGTGTGCTGATTGGCGGAAATATTCCTTGGCGGTGCTGGGTGGAATTGATTTCAAGGGCTCATCGCAATTAGATTCTATGGGTGTATCATCCTGAAAATTTCATAGGTAGTATACCTAGCCTTTATTAATAACTGGATCAAATTTCAAGAGAATCTGACATAGAATAAAGAGATGGTTTGTGGTTAAATTCTACATAATCAACAGCCTGATTTTCGTGGGGTGCGGCGTATCCTACAAAGGATAGAGTAATAAGGGCTATTATAATTAGATTCTACCATCATAATTAGATCCTAAGGTGTATCATCCTGAAATTTTAATCGGTAATATACCTGGCCCTTATTAATAACTAGATCAAATTTTAAGAGAATCTAACTTAGAATAAAGAGGTGGTTAGTGGTTGAATTCTCATCATTAATAGCCGGATTTTCATCAAGGTGCAGCCTCACGAGACTAACCATACCTTAGATTCAGGGGTAAAGATGTTTCCGTATCTTACTCATTCATCACTATTCATTCACGACTATCCATTCCATCCTTACTATCATGGAAAATCAATTATTTCATCAGTGCCTACCTTAGGTATTCTTATCTGCCGTCAATGCAAGCATGGGGTACGACCAACAGAGGTTGAACAACATCTAAAGAAGAAGCACTCCCTAAAGCATGCAGTTGCAATCCAGATCACTGAGGCAATATCTAAATGGCAGGATATTCAGTATGATAGTAGCACTATCCAGATACCTCAAGCATTAGATGAGCCGCTGCCTATATTACCATCTCATTCTGATGGCCTGCGCTGCCTGCGTGATCAAACCAAATGCGAATATATAGCAGCAACAATTAAATCTATGCGAAAGCATTGGCAGGTTGTTCACCAGTGGTCCCAGCAGAGTCATCGCGGGCGGGTTAGCCAGAAGGAGAAGGCTAGGGGTGATACTGAGGTGCAGCAGTCATTCCAATATGTCTCATGGCAGCAGGTGTTTCCTAGTGGTCCCGGGTCCCACTATATCCATATTCGATATCCAGATGGAGTCCCCCCGCCCCCATCGATCCAGCGCGTGCAGGCTGCGGTAGATGAGGTGGTGCAGGCGTGGGAGCAGGCGCAGGCCCGCGCTCAGGCCGATCAGGCGATCCAGGCGAGCCAGTTGACTGACGCGAATCCCTGGCTGCGGATGACTTGGTGGGCGGACTATCTGCAGGGTATCCAGGCGCATAACCTACTTGCCTGCGTGGCGGCCCCGGAGGAAGATCCCCAGGATGCCACTGAGCAGTGCGTGCAGGTGATCTGGCATACAATGGAGTAGGTTGCCTGCAAGAGCCAGCAGATGGTCTAGCACTGCGGCCAGGCCATTTGGGTGGAAGCGGTCTGGTCTGAAAAAGGACAGACACCATACCGGCCGCTGCTGGCGTATATGGATGAGGCGGCGATCCAGAAGCATGTCCATCCATGGCAGCAGATATTAGCATTCATTGCCTGCACGCAGGTGCCGCATGACTGGATAAGTCTAAAATATGGGATGACTGTGCGGCAGTGCTAGAAATGGCAGCAGCTGTGGCAGCTTGCTAGCCAGGCCGCAGTTCCAGGGGACTGGGAGGTCTTGGAGGACCTAGAGGTATGGGTGATGACCATGATAGAAAAAGCATGCTTAGAATTTTGCATTGAGCTGCTTAACCAGCGCCATTGCAGTCATGAATATAAGAGTGCATTAGTATGCGCCATGGCGGTGCTCGGTTAAGGTGAGGCTGGCTGGCGGGACCCTGAGAGCTACCCCCCAATATTATCCCGTGTGATCAAGGTGGCCCGATTCATAGTGGTCCAGAAAGCACTATGGATGGACCCAAATCCATGGCAGATCATTCAGACCTGGATATAAAAGGACCAGAGCGCTGAATGGGTGCTAGCTAGCGCAGATGATCAACTTGGGGAGATTAATGAGGGATATAGCAGTGATGACCCCCATCATCACCACCATCATCGCCCCCATCATCCATCCATAGCGATGATCCATTACCCGCAGTCAACATTCGCCAGAGCCGGCGACCATTCCAGGAGCAGGTGACATGGATGATGCACCAGTTTATGATCCGTGGGACACATGGCCCCATGGAAACATTGCTAGACTGGCGCACATATGGATTAAAGGTCCATTATAATCATACCGCGCCCGGACATGTGACGTGGATGGGCGAGGACCAGTTATTATACCAGCAGATGGCGTTCACGATGGGGGATTTTCGGGGATTCATCCATGGATTAGTGACTGCAGTGAGGGAGATACTAGGCCATTTGTGCATGCAGGATTATGTGCAGATGCCTGCCATTCCCTGGACAGCATTATATGACGATCCCAGCCAGAGCCAGGCAGGGTGGAACTTTCTGCACGATGCACGGACCCAGTGGCCGGTGGATGGGACCCACTGGATGATCAACCGGCTGTGGGCCGAGCCGGTTATGCAGCGGCATTTTCTGCGGGGCAGCCGATTCCACCCCGCTGCCATCCAGCAGTATTGGCAGCGCGTGGCCCAGTTTAAGGAGAAATTAGTAATTATCGTGCATGTCACTGCAGGGCAGCTGGCCTGGGCCCCAGAGTTATTAAGCATTCAGCATTGCAACACGGCAAATAGTCAACAGCGGAATATATATATCGAGGATGGCATGGTGACATTTGTGACGGCATATCATAAGGGATTCCATGCTAGCAATAATGTCAAGATCATCCATCGATATGTGCCGCAGGAGGTCGGGGAGTTAGTAGTATGGTATATGTGGCTGGTGATGCCATTCATTAATCAGTTGGCTGCATGGCAGGCGGCGCAGGCGGCGCAGGGAAGTCAGGCGGCGCAGGGAAGTCACACTGAGCAGGGAAGTCACGCCGTGCAGGGAAGCCGGGCCGCACAGGGAAGTGACGCCACGCAGGGGAGCCAGCCCGCGCAGGGGAACCAGGCCATGCAGGCATGGTTATGGGGCCCTGACCCTGGTACTGGCCGCGAATGGTCGTCTGAGCGGTTCCAGGAGGCGTTGAAATGGGAAACCTGCACCTGGCTAGGCACCGCCATCCATATCGCCGCATACCGGGACATCGCCATTGGCATCAGCCGCTGATTTTTGCGGCCGTCCACCGCGTTCCCCCATAATATCCAGGAGGCCGAGCCGGCCCCAGCTGCCATGGATGCTGATGCTGAGGAGGGCATGGATATCAAGCAGTGGATAGGCCATATTGCTGATTTACAGGCTGCCCATTCATCACACGTTGCTGGCATGGTATATGGCCGTGTCATGCAGGAACAGGCCGGCAGCACAGCCCACCGGTGGGAGATGTTCCGGTTATCCAGCACCGATTAGCATCAGTTTTTAGGGTTTAGCGCCCTGGGCCACCCATCCATATTAGGCAAGCGCAAATGGGCCCCGTGGGAGGATGAGGCTGAGGTCAGCCGCATGGAATGCTGCCACCAGCTAGCCACTATGGATCTGGAGGCAGCCGCGCAGCGCATGACTGGGCGGCCTGACATGTGGTTCTGGGGGTGCAGGACCCGGCAATGCGGGCCATCCAGCAGGGTGAGAGCCCTGTGGTGGCGGTGATGCCCACCGGTGGGGGAAGAGCATGCTGTTCATGGTGCCCGCGTTCACTGCCCCCGGGGGCACCACCATTATTATGGTGCCACTCATTGCATTACGGGCTGATATGACCAGGCGCTGCCAGGAGCTCAGCATATCATGTATGCCATGGGAGAGCCAGCGGCCCCCCGATGCTGCATCCATTGTGTTAGTGACGCCTGAATCCGCGGTGAGCCCTGATTTCCAGATGTTTTTGAACTGGCTGCGGTGGACCCGGCGGTTGGACCGGATTGTGATTGATGAATGCCATGTGGTGTTGAATTCCCAACGCGATTTCCGGCCCCAGATGGCTCAGCTGGGCTGGTTGGTCCAGGCCCGCACCTAGATGGTATGGTTAACCGCCACGTTGCCCCCGAGCATGGAGGCTGAATTATGCTGGCGGATGAAGTATGACCGGGCCGCTGTGACCATATACCGGGCCTGGACCAGCCGGCCGAACGTGGCATACTGGGTGTGGCGGCCAGACATGACCGGGGTGGGCCGGGGCCTATATCAGTGGATTGAGAGTGAGGTGGTGGTAGCATTCATTCAGGACCGCATCTGACGGGCTGCTGGGGGGAAGGTGATTATATATGCGAATATCATTGGGCAGGTGACGGCCATGGCGCGGGTGCTTGGGTGCGAGGCATATTACAGCGAGCAGTTGGACAAGGCTGGGGTGCTGGCGCGGTTCATGGGGCCAGCCCAGTGATCGCCGCCACCAGCGCGTTGGGCATGGGGGTGGACATCCCCAATATCCGCAGCATCATCCATATTGGGACCCCCCGGACATTACTGGATTACGCGCAGGAGAGTGGCTGGGCTGGGTGAGATGGACAGCGCAGTGAGGCAATCATTATCTAGCCAGCTGGGTGGGATACCCCAGCTCCATGGATGGAGGGCGTCGCCCCTGAGGACCAGGAGCGGGTTGCTGAGTATATGGGGGTGGTGGAAGGCATTGGGTGCCGCTGGGTTGTGTTAGATCAGTATTTGGATGGAGTGGTGGATGGGTATCAGCGGCGGTATTGCCAGGATGCGGATCCTGGGGAGCAGATATGTGATGGGTGTGATCCCAATTGGGCAGAGCTGGAGGTGGATCCAGCCAGGGTTGGTAGCAGCCTAGTGCTGGGTGAGGCAGCCCCAGAGGCCCCATGTGAGGCAGGCAGCGAGGCAGGCAGCGAGGCAGGCAGCGAGGCAGGCAGCGAGGCAGGCAGCGAGGCAGGCAGTGAGGCAGGCAGTGAGGCAGGCAGTGAGGCAGGGAGAGAGGCAGGGAGAGAGGTAGGGAGAGAGGTAGTCAGAGAGGCCCCATGCCAGGCAGGTAGCATGGTAGCAAGAGAGGCAGCCAGAGAGGCACCATACAGGGTGACCCCACCATCAGGCAGTCCCACCCCATCCAATGAGTCATTTTGCAGCCAGCCATCCATTCCCATGGCAGTATGGCACGCCCAGCAGGCGCAGGCCCAGCAGTGGGCCGCCATGGATATCCAGCAGCAGCAGCATCGGACCCAGCAGGGTTTGGATGAGGAGATGGCCCAGGCTGAATGCATGCAGTGGCAGGACCAATGTTATATATGCGCCATGCAGGGGGGTGATGGTGGCCATGAGTTATATGCATGTCATCAGCCCCACAGCCAGGCCGCACGGGCATGGATGATCTGCGTGCGTCGGCAAGTGCAATACGCGCCATATAGCGCGTGTTATTCATGCGGTATGCCCCAATCCATATGCCATGGGTGGGAGCCAGGCCACGCATGCGAATACTGTGGGTTTTTGATCCCCATGGTGGCCATGATGTTATTCGGGCCATGGCAGGGCCAGATCGAGCCCGTATGGCAGCGCTGGTTGCAGGGAATGGGGGTTGATGGGTAGGATGAGGCCCAGGTGGTCCAGTTTTTAGGGCAGGCGCACCCCAACCACGAGGGGCACAGCCAGTTATTTACATCATTTTGTTGGTTATGGCGGTTATGTCAGGAGATCGAGGTCGATCAGCATTGATATATTTGGGAATGAATATATATTTTAGTATACCATAATGCGCAGAGATATATATTATACGGTTGGTTTATATAGTATGTTAGCTGAATTAGTGGTTTATACATATGCATATATATAATATCAACCATAGTTATGATAGACATAGGTAGTAGGTAGGGAGGGAGCAAGAGAGACAGTAGGTAGATAGTAAGGTAGGCAGTGAGGTAGACAGGAAGGTAGATAGGAAGGTAGACAGGGAGGTAGACAGTAAGGTCATGCATGAGGCAGGCAGCAAGACAGGCAGTGAGGTAGACAGAATGGGAGGCAGAATAGGAGGCAGAATAGGATGCAGAAGGGCAGGTCAAATAGCAGGGAGAACAGCAGGCAGTGAGGTAGTGATTAGGATAGCAAGCAAGGTAGTATAGTAGATTATAAGGCCCCAGGAAGGTCATGCATGAGGCAGGCAGAACAGCAGGCAGAAAGTAAGACAGGTAGTGGGGTAGATAGTGAGGTAGACAGCGAGGTAGACAGCGAGGTAGACAGCGAGGTAGACAGTGAGGTAGACAGCAAGGTAGACAGCAAGGTAGATAGCAAGGCAGGTAGTAAGATAAGCAGTAAGGCAGGTAGTAAGGTAGGCAGTGAGGCAGGCAGTGAAGGAGGTAGTAAGGCAGGTAGTAAGGCAGGCAGCATAACAGGCAGTAAGACCAGCAGGAAGAACCCAGTAAGATAGGTAGTATAGTAGATAGTAAGGCAGGCAGTGAAGCAGGTAGTAAGGCAGGTAGTAAGGCAGGCAGCAAGACCGGCAGTGAAGCAGGCAGTAAGATAGGTAGAATAAGGCCCAGGTAGTCCAGGTGGTCCAGGGTTTTAGGTTAGTGCATCCCAACCATGAGGGGCACCGCCAGTTATTTATATTATTTTATTTAGTACAGCAGTTATGTCAGGAGATCAGGTTGATCAGCATTAATATATTAATAAATGAATATATATATTTCAGGATACCATAATGCGCAGAGATATATATTATACATTTAGTTTATAGAGTATGTTGGCGAATCCATAGTTTATACGCAGGGATATATATATAAGTGATATATCAGGGAATATATATCATATTAACCATAGTTAGGAGAGAGGTAGGTAGCAAGGTAGACAGTAAGGTAGATAGTAAGGTAGATAGTGAGATAGGCAGTGAGGTAGGCAGTAAGGCAGGCAATGAGCAAGGGGGCAGCAAGCCAGGCAGTGAGTGAGGGGGCAGCGAGCAAGACAGGCAGTGAGCAAGCCAGTTAGTGAGTGAGGGAGGCAGTGAGATAGTAAGCTAGATAGTGAGATAGGTAGTGAGTGAGCCAGGCAGTGAGCAAGTGAGGCAGTGAACAAGCCAGTCAGTGAGCAAGCCAGTCAGTGAGCAAGCCAGTCAGTGACTAAGCTAGCAAGCAAGGCAGCGAGTGAGGGAGTCAGTGAGCAAGCTAGCTAGTGAGGCAGGCAGTGAGCAAGCCAGTTAGTGAGCAAGGGAGGCAGTGAGCGAGCCAGGCAGTGAGCAAGCCAGGCAGTGAGCAAGCCAGGCAGTGAGTAAGTGAGGCAGTGAGTAAGGGAGGCAGTGACCGAAGCAGTGAGTAAGGGAGGCAGTTAGTGAGTGAGGGAGGCAGTGAGATAGTAAGCTAGACAGTGAGATAGGTAGTGAGTGAGCCAGGCAGTGAGCAAGCGAGGCAGTGAACAAGCCAGTCAGTGAGTGAGCTAGCAAGCGAGGCAGCGAGTGAGGGAGTCAGTGAGCGAGCTAGCTAGTGAGGCAGGCAGTGAGCAAGCCAGTCAGTGAGCGAGGCAGGCAGTGAGCAAGGCAGGCAGTGAGCAAGCCAGGCAGTGAGCAAGTGAGGTAGTGAGTGAGGGAGGCAGCGAGCAAGGGAGCAAGCAAGTCAGGCATTAAGGCAGGCAGTGAGGGAGGCAGTGAACGAGGGAGGCAGGCAGCGAGCAAGTTAGGCAGTGAGCGAGCGAGGCAGTGAGTAAGGGAGTCAGTGAGCGAGGCAGTGAGCGAGGGAGGCAGTGAGTGAGCCAGCTAGTGAGGCAGGCAGCGAGCAAGGCAGGCAGCAAGTAAGGCAGTAAGTAAGGCAGGCAGTGAGTAAGGCAGTAAGACAGGCAGTGAGATAGATAGTAAGATAGATAGTAAGATAGATAGTAAGATAGATAGTAAGGTAGACAGTAAGATAGATAGTGTAGTCAATAGTAAGGTAGGTAATAAGGTAGATAGTAATTATAAATAGCATAGTAGATAGTAAGGTTAATAGTAAGGTAAGCAGTAAGAGAGGTAGTAATATTAGTAGATTAAGATTAGTTAGTATCCATATATCAAGTAATAGATATATATTAGGAGATCAAGGTTAATTAGGATTAATATATTAAGTAAATAAATATATATATTTTAGGATACCATAATAGCAGCAGAGATATATATTATATATTTAGTTTATATAAATATCCAAATCCATGGTTTATACATCCATATATATATATATAATTAGGTATCAGGGGGATATCACCATAGTTAGGAGAGAGATAGTTAGTAAGGTAGATAATAAGATTAATAGTATAGTAGATAGTGAGGTTAACAGTAAGGTTAATAGTATAGTAGATAGTAAAGTGAATAGTAAGGTAGATAGCAAGGTTAATAGGAAGGCAGGCAGCAAGAGAGGTAATAATATTAAGAGATTAAGGTTAGTCAGCATTAATATATTAGTGAATGAATATATATAATTTGGGATACCATAATGCTCAGAGATATATATTATAGAGTTAATTATAGAGTATATTAGCTGAATCCGTGGTTTATACACAGGCATATATATATATAATATTAGCCACATTCAAGAGAGAGGTAGGCAGTGAGATAGGCAGTGAGAGAGATAGTAAGGTAGCCAGCAAGGCAGGTAGCAAAGGAGGCAGTGAGCAAAGCAGTAAGTAAGGCAGTAAGCTAGATAGTGAGCTAGATAGTGAGGTAGATAGTAAGTGAGAGAGGCAGTAAGGGAGGCAGGCAGTAAGGCAGTGAGGTAGATAGTGAGGTTGACAGTGAGGTAGATAGTGAGGTTGATAGTGAGGTAGATAGTAAGATAGATAGTGAGTAAGGTAGCTAGTGAGACCAGCAGCAAGACTGGAAGTGAGCAAGGCAGTAAGGCAGTGAGCAAGATAGTAAGCTAGACAGTGAGCTAGACAGTGAGTGTAGCAGTGAGAAAGGCAGTGAGTGAGATAGCAAGACAGGGAGTAAGTAAGATAATAAGGGAGGCAGTGAGATAGGGAGTAAGTGAGGTAGCAAGATAGGGACTGAGGAGGGAGGCAGTGAGATAGGTAGTAAGGCAGGCAGTAAGCAAAGCAGTGAGCAAGGCAGTGAGTAAGGCAGTTAGTAAGATAGTGAGTGAGATAGTGAGCGAGTTAGTGAGGGGGCAGTGAGTGAGATAGTGAGGGAGGCAGTAAGTGAGATAGTGAGGGAGGTAGTAAGTAAGATAGTGAGGGAGGTAGTGAGCAAGATAGTGAGTGAGATAGTAAGTAAGGTAGTGAGTGAGATAGTGAGGGAGGCAGTGAGTAAGACAGTGAGCAAGATAGTAAGTAAGGCAGTGAGTGAGATAGTAAGGGAGTAAGGTAGTGAGTGAGGTAGTAAGCAAGATAGTGAGCAAGATAGTAAGTAATATAGTAAGGGAGGCAGTGAGCAAGACAGTAAGTAAGATAGTGAGGGAGGCAGTGAGTGAGATAGTAAGTAAGATAGTGAGGGAGGTAGTGAGTAAGACAGTGAGTGAGATAGTAAGTAAGGCAGTGAGTGAGATAGTGAGTGAGATAGTGAGGGAGGCAGCAAGCAAGACAGTAAGGGAGGCAGTGAGTAAGATAGTAAGGGAGGTAGTAAGTAAGATAGTGAGGGAGGTAGTGAGCAAGACAGTAAGTAAGATAGTAAGTAAGGCAGTGAGTGAGATAGTGAGTGAGATAGTGAGGGAGGCAGCAAGCAAGACAGTAAGGGAGGTAGTAAGTGAGATAGTGAGGGAGTGAGGCAGTAAGTAAGGTAGTGAGTAAGATAGTAAGTAAGGCAGGCAGTGAGTGAGTGAGGGAGGCAGCAAGATAGGTAGTAAGTAAGATAGTAAGTGAGTCAGGCAGTAAGGTAGACAGTAAGATAGATAGTAAAACAGGCAGTAAGATAGGTGGTAAGACAGGTAGTGAGGTAGATAGTAAGATAGATAGCAAGGTTAATAGTTAGGCAGGCAGTAAGAGAGGCAGTAATATTAGGAGATTAAGGTTAATTAGTAGTAATATATGAATAAATATATATATTTAGGATACTATAATGCGTAGAGATATATATTATACAGTTAGTTTGAAGAGTATGTTGGCTGAATCTGTGGTTTATATGCAGGCATATATATATAAATAAGACATCAGAGAATACATATAATATTAACCACATTCAGGAGAGAAGTAGGCAGTGAGATAGGCAGTAAGGTAGTTAGTAAGTGAGGCAGTAAGTAAGAGAGGTAGTGAGGGAGGCAGTGAGGGAGGTAGTAAGATAAGTAGTGAGGTAGATAGTAAGGTTAACAGTAAGGGAGGTAGTAAGTAAGATAGTAAGGGAGGTAGTAAGAGGCAGTGAGCAAGGTAATAAGGGAGCTAGCAAGTGAGATAGCAAGATAGAGAGTAAGTAAGGCAGTGCATGAGATAGTAAGGGAGATAGTAAGATAGGTAGTAAGATAATAAGTAAATAGATAAGTAGGGTAGTAAGATAGTAATGCAGGTAAAAGGCCCCAAGGAGATTATATATTAGGTAGACCATAAGGTAGATAAGAGATAGAGAGGGAGGTATTTAGTAAATAAGGAGAATAGGCAGAAGGTAAGAGGTAGTAAGGAGAATAAAGTAAGGAAGGATAAGTAATAGA